GAAAGAGATTTTTCCACAGTATTTCTCTGCTTCGCTCCAAGCATTGATCTATTCAGTTGGATGCTTGTAGGCATCCCACTGCATTACCTGAAAAATTTTCATCCAGTCAAAGTTGACTAACTCTTCGAGTCACATTTTTAGCAGTAGGAGAGAATAAGGAATGGCATACTGGATCAGATTCAATTACAGTGGCCACGTTCACACAAGTGTGGACGTCTGTTTCCCTGGGGACAGGAAGTGGCACAACTTGTGCCACTGCTGCTTGTCCCTGAGGAATGTTTGTGCCACACGCCTTCTGGCACATGGCAGGTTACCCCAGGTGGGGTAGTGGAAGCTGGGGCCACCAATCGTACTGGCCCCAACAGCCTTACCTGGAGGCCTAGGAAGCTGCAACCACGGTGCTCCTGCAGCTGGGAGCCTGGCTGGCAGCCAGAGTGTGGCTCCAGCCAGCTAGATTCCAGTTTGGGGCACACTGCCACATGCACCTCCCTGCTTTTTTCTGCACAGGTTATTTTTGACCCCAGGGTCAAACATCCCCATCCTCCCCACCACACACACACACGCTGCAAGGTAGCAGCATGTGGAATACCTGAAATATGTGCAGTGCGTCACCACAGCCTGGGCTGCAGCACCACATACTGCATGACCATGCTTGGCTGGATGCAGTCAGTCTGACTGATCCAGTAGTCTGACCTAACACCATGAGTTTCAGATGAGATCTGGTAGCTTTAAAGTAAAAACAAGTATGAGTAAACTTATTGCATTGACACTGGCAAACACAAGAGATTGATGCTCTTTGATATAGCTTCCCGTCTTCGAAATGTTGTTTAAAATAGCTAGCAAGAGTGAACCAGCTAACAAAACGCCCAGCACTTGCTAGGAACTCTACTCATAATTTACTAGTAAAACCACTGGGACCTTCTTGAATACAGCTTCTTTTTTTTGTTCCATTTTTCCTTGTTTTTCAGCTCTTCTGTCTTTCGGTTCCTCTTATTTTCTCTCGCATATAAAAGGAACTTTACATCATGATTGTGTTTTGATTACCATACATTTTCATAGTGCTGCCAGCTGAATTGTTTAATTTGGTATTCTTGTTGGACTGGAAAAGCTGAGTGCTGGTAAAAGTTAAATTTAAACATTGGGATTTGTAAATTATCCCTGATCTTGATCTAGCATCTGTCCTTAACTTGTGGTCTCCAAGTGGGTTTAGTTAACACCCTAGCACCTCTCCCCTTCCTCTACAAAAAGGCTTTGTTCTGGGCTAATGAAAGCATTGCTTTTTATTAACATATTGGAATGTGACTTTTTTTTTTACCCTTAATATCCAGAGATTTGTGTCTACAAATACACATTGAGTCCACCTGGAGCTATACTTTTTTGAAGATGTAAGAAGTGAAAGATTTATTTTTCTTTGTCTAAGTTTTTGGATGAACACATTTTTATGAACTATACTAAATAGCTTTCTGCAGTAGGGAGCCCTTCCAACAAATTTACGGTTTACACCAATTTGATCATCTTTAGGATGTTTTAAGCAGGCACAACCTTTTCTTCTGTTCTGCAGTTTTCTTGGCCCTTGCAAGGTCAGAAACAGCAGTTGTGCTGACTGTTTTCAATTTGAGTCATTCAGTGTTCAAATTATATTGCAGTAGTGCCAAAGGACCCCATTGTGCTAGGCATTGTAAAAACACATGACAGATTGTCAGCTCATCGAGGCAGGACTAGAAGTAAAAGCTTTTGCAGTTAGACACTAAGATCATATGATCTTTTAGTTGTGCTTTGCAGATGGCTCCATGTATAAATCATGCTGGGAACCCACTTTGGGTATTGCTGGTTGATAGGTCAACACAAAAATGATCCCAGAATCACAGTGGGTAACGCTGTAGGAAAGATAACCCAACACATTCTTGGGAAAAATCATTCTTCTTCCACCATCAGGTATGTAAAGCAGAAGTTAAATCTAGTGGGAAAAACAATAATAAATTACTAATCTTGATAGATCATGTATAATCTGAGCTATATACCGTTCAGGGATACAGAAATACTTCTACATCAGTACTTCATGCTTTCAGTGAATTCTTCGCGAAAGGCACACTGGCTTTTGTCTTCTCGTAGCTGCAGCTACAAGGGAAGACACTTCAGAGCATCCCTTCTGTACTGGAACCAAGGCAGAAAGCCAGGGAATACCTTTTTCTTACAATTAGGGGACAGTGTTTATAAAACAGTGTCAAACTTTTGCTCTTGTTTGGTTGCTCAAGTCCTGCCACCCAGTAAATATCCCAGTAAGTTTTCTTGTAAAAATGTTCCCTCTGCCTCGAGAATGGAGGAAAGGCCTTTGCAGATAGTCTGTGTTAGATGGTTGGTGATTTTCTGGTGCACTACTGGTAAAATAAATGATTACCATAAATCATGTTGATTTCTGGGTGCTATGTAAAACTTCTATGTTATTGTAATAATTTACTTTAAAAAAAAACACTCAGTTCAGAAGAAGGCACTGAGTCTTGCGCACTTGAACTTGGTTTCTAAAATGCAGGGTTGTTTAAATGCTACTTCCAACCTATTCATTTAAAATACTGTAAGTGTTAAATGATGTGAGGTTATTTGGAGGGAACTTGTTTTCAAGGATCTGTGTTTATGGTGGGAGGTGCAGGGAAAAGATGCCTGTCCACTTCCCTTTCCTCTAGAACAGTGGTCTCCAAAGTGGGGTGCGCAAGACGGTCCATTGGGGTGCGGGAAGAAATAGAACTTCTATTTATATTTATATAAATATACATATATTGGGGGTGCATGCTCAAAAATTTTTTCCTGATAGGCGTGCGCGATCAAAAAGGTTTGGAGACCGCTGCTCTGGAACATAAAAAGATTCTCTCTCTCAAATCTGCAGAGCCTCCTCCTAACCTCTCTGGTCCCATTGTCAAGCAACCTCCTGATCAGCTTCATCAGGTGATGAGAGCACCCAGCACATGATCTTTCCAGTTTCCTCTCCCGGGGCCTTTTCTTTTCTACAAGAACTTTGTCCTTCTACAGCCCTTTCTTTCACACGTAGACGTCTTGGCATCTGTCTCAGCCACCAGCTCTCACTGTACCGCTGGCTGATGTCGCTCCTGATTTTTCTGCTGAATCTTAGCACTTCGTTCTTCCCTCTGCTTTGCACCCAAACGTTATTACTTTTGTTTCCCTTTCTCCAGAGTGACTTGCACAGAAACCTAACTTTTGCCATTTCCTTTGAATCTAGCTTCCACCGTTAACACAGCATCTGGTACTAGTTTGACGAAACAGGCAAATCATCTCTAGGGAAACCTGTAGCTTTCCCCAGCAGTTGCCATTCAGCTGTGTACGTTCAGATGGTTCCTCCTGGAGCCATTTGCTCAGCTGTCTGCAGCAGCCTCTCAGAGCTGGATTACCTAGAATAGTCGGGGAGATCCCAAAGCTGTTTGCAGAAGGCACACAAAAAATACAGGGTTTCTTAAAGTGTTGAAGACCTTCCAGTATTCTCAGCTGGTCCTCCAGGTAGAACACCCCGAAACAATGTCACTGGAGGTTTCTGCCGGTCCTGAAGGTTTCTTAAACAGAACACCAGATTGTTTCCACACACACCACAAAATATGAAAGGCCAAGGCTGATTTTCTGGGCTTTCTGCCTGATGCTAGAAGATGAAAAACTAGTAGGATTTATGATGAGATTTATTATTATTATTATTATTATTATTATTACTATTTTTATTTTTATTAATATTATTTTTGTTTATTCATTTTATTTTTTCCCCATCATCATTACGACTTTTCCAGTCCTAAAAGTAGTGATGAGAAAGAAATAGTTCTCATACACAGTAATTAATTGCCTGTTAACTGTCACCAGGAAGCAAATGGTAATCTTAGCCACAAAAAAGAGTTGACTTGGGAAAGAGAGTGGAAGCAGTGATTCTGTTGTTAGACACTGGTAGTAGAATTTAAAAAATGCAGACAGACACCATAGTAGCTACTGGATATTTGCATTGGTCTTTGAAAATAAATTTGTTTGTAGAGTTCTTGTTTTTTCCATGTTTAGAGATGCACAGCAGAATTACAGACATCTAAATAACTGTAATTATGGGAATGCACAACATTTTTTCTTTGAAGTGTCACCTTAAAATTTGAATTTCCAGACTCCCTAATCTCTTGTCTTTTGATCACTACAGTGCTCTACTAAGCTTTTTCCATGAAGTACTGTTCAGATATTCACAGTTTCTAGTCTCGATTAGTAGAGCCCTTTGCTGGGAATTCATAGCCAGCTGCAGTCACTTTATCTGGTTCGTTACTATTACAGGAGGACCTTGCTGCATTTGGTGTCTTACCTGAATGTTATAAAGCTGTATAATATGCATTGAATGTGTTCTGCAGCAACCTGCACTGCTTCCCTCGCTCTTCTCATATTTTATCCCCCCCACACTCAACCCCCCACAGATTGCATCCTCATTGGATAATGGTGCCTCCTAAGGAAGCAAGAAATTAAACTTTCTTTTTTCCACTTCATACACTGGACTAGTTTGGTTTTTTGGTGATGTAGTCACTGCTGCAAGTACCCTACTGTTCTGCAAGAGTGGTGCATGTGAAGCTTTGTAATGAATAAAATAAAAAGAAGTCCCAAATTACGTTCCCTATAGAATGAATTTCCAGCAGGTTTTCCTGTGTAGTAGTCTTAAAGACTGAAAAAAGTAATAGCTGTTCAAGTCACATGGCTAACATCTACAAGGTATACATGGATTAATGTGTTTGGGGGAGAGGAGGAAAGGAGTTGTGCATTCTGAGATTGCTTAAAACAGCAACAAAGGCAATAAATGCTGCTTATCGATTTGCTAGAGGACTATGGTACAGGTGCGTTTATGAATGTTAGGGATCTGGGTTTGTAGGACAAGTGAATATCAGTCACAAAGGGCCAGAGGGCTAGGGTTCATTCCTTTTTAAGTAGGTAGGATACATGTGTGTTAAAAGGTTGGTGTGAACTTTTTCGCGTTTTTCTTCTAGGAACTGGGGACATTGTTGCTGTGATGATTACAGAGTCAAAGGTGAAGGAGATCCTGAATTACTTGGAGAAGAACATTTCTGTCTTGATGGCAATAGCAGTCGGAGCTCGCGTTCCTCCAAAGAATTTCAGTCGTGGCTCTCTGGTCTTTGTGTCAATATCATTCATCGTTTTGATGATCATTTCTTCAGCATGGTTAATATTTTACTTCATCCAAAAGATTAGGTACACAAGTGCACGTGACAGGAACCAGGTAATAGGTTGTTTTTCTCCTATCAATTTATTAAAATACACATAAAACAGTATACTGTACAGTTGATTGCTGATGCATGGTCTGTTGGGCCATAAACTGTGAATTTGTAGTCTTTAAATGTAGATTCTGGATGTTTAAATACTCAGTGCTCAGAGCGTAAGACGCTATGTGATAGTTGTGTATAGTAAGATACATAATCTTTCTTTCCTAAGGGAAGAATTTTTATTTTCATTGTGAGATTAATGCGCAGAAACTGAAGAATAAAATACATGGAGTCCTCCAAAGTGAGACTCATTTTTTGAGAACAAAAATCACCCAGTTTTGGCGAACTAGAGTATAATATTTTTTGCTTCTCTTGAAAATCACTAGAGATTTTTAAAGGAAATGAAGTTTTGGATAAATTGCATAGTATGCTGCTGGAGGAAATTGGCTGCTCATTGTTCTGGGGAGATTTTGCTAATTGAGGGTTGGATCATATATGTAATCTTTAGGGGTGCACCGATGAGAGATTTTTGGGGGCCGATGCTAATAGTTAAGGCAGTATATTGGCCCATACTGATCCGATACAGCTGCCAGCCGCTGATAAGTCCCTTGTGGTGGAAGGAGTGGGGGGGGCAGATCAACTCCCCCCGCAGTAAGGGAGGGGGCAGGAACAGGCACTGCCCAGCTGGGGCAGGTGGGAGTGCAGGACAGAGGCACTGTTTGTGGGGTGGGGGCAGCTCCGGCTGCTGCTTGCACCCTGGGAGGGTGGGGGAAGAGGGGGCATATGCCCCTGGACTGGTGTGGGGCAGGCTGCAGCTGTGGAGTGAAGCTGGAGCCAGCTCTGTGTGGGACTCGTCTTGCTGTGGGTTGCAACAGCACTGGGAGGAAGCTGCAGGCACCCCAGATCTTGCCGCAGCTCCTCTCCCTGCCCCATGCCACCCCCCGGCTTTTCCCAGTGCTTGGGTGGAGGCGAGGCATTCAGCTGGGGCTGCGGCTGGTGGTGGAACGGAGCTGGGAGTGGAGCTGTGGCAAAATTTGGGGTGGATGCAGCATCCTTCCAGTGCATCTGGAGCCCACTCCAAGCCCAGACCCTGGTGAGAAGAGCTACGCAGCACCGGCTCTGGCTCCCACCCGCAGCCCACCCTGCACCACACAGATCCAGGGACATATGCTCCTCCTCTTCCCCACCCTCCTGGGATGCAAGCAATGGTGGAAGCTGTCCCCGCCCCCCCCCACAAGCTGCGCCTCTGTCCCCCTCCTCCCC